TAATATCTACTCTCTTACTTATCTAACATAAGTTTAATGCTACACAAAATTTCAAAATTTTCTTCATGTGATTTAACTACTATTTATTGAAGCATATCTATTTCATATTTTGTCCATGAAATTATATTGCTGAACGTAGTTACTCCCGCGTATTTGGTGTCGCTTTAGTTCGTTGAGCTGCACGTGTTGTTTCTTCTTGTCTAAAAATGGCAGAAAACGGTAATTGTTATTTATTTTATTACTATGTTATACTATTTTATACAATATTTACGAAATTATATTTGTTAATTGAATTCAGTATTCTTATTTTACATATAAAAGTAAATAAAAATATTTACCTTCTGTTATAAATATAAGTTAAAAGTTTTGCGGTAAACACGTGTTTTTACTTTCAATAAAAGTTTCAATACAGATATCGCTTTAAATACAATATGATGCAGGTGTTCTACATATTTATTTTACGTTAAAATTAATTTTCTACATATATACATAATGTAGTTGGATATCTCGACATTTTACCGATGAATATAAGCAACATGATTTTATAGGTTAATTTTTATTTTTGTTTAGATAAGAGTAAGAAAAAAAGTAAAAAAAAGTCGCTGGGAGAAATTCAAGCGACAATGAAATGTCAAATTGAACCTTCAGATGAACTTATAAAACTTGAATACAAAGATTGGCCCCTTTTATTTAAGGTGTGTAGAATTAAAATTAATAACAAGTTGCTTTGTGATTCAAAAAACAGTTTTAAATTTGAATTATACTGAATTATATTGTTCCAGAATTTTGATAAAATGTTTACTCGCACTAAACATTTTACTCCTTTAACTAGTGGTTCCACGCCACTACATCGTACTTTATCAGAGTATATAAAATCTGGGTGTATTAATCTTGATAAACCATGTAATCCATCATCACATGAAGTTGTGGCATGGATAAAAAGAATTTTAAAAGTGGAAAAGACTGGTCATTCTGGTACTTTAGATCCTAAAGTATCTGGTTGTTTAATAGTATGTATTGATCGTGCAACTAGATTAGCTAAATCACAACAGTCTGCTGGGAAGGAATATGTTGCAGTTTTTAAATTACATTCTGCTGCTGAGAGTCTTCAAAAGGTAAATATAAGTTTAACTTTATATATGTTAGATAATACATAATACATTATTACAATCTCAACATGATGCAGGTAAGTCAGGCATTGGAGAAATTGCGTGGTGCACTCTTTCAACGACCTCCACTTATATCTGCAGTGAAGCGTCAACTTCGTGTTAGAACAGTGTATGACAGTTGGTTCCTTGATTACGATGAAGAACGCAATATGGGAGTGTTCAGAATTAGTTGTGAGGCTGGTTCATACATTAGAACTATTTGTGTTCATCTTGGCCTCTTCTTAGGCACTGGTTGTCAAATGCAAGAATTACGTAGAAATCGCTCAGGTGTTCAATCTGAAAAAGATGGAATGGTTACAATGCATGATATACTTGATGCTCAATGGTTATATGAAAACCATGGAGATGAATCTTACTTAAGAAGAGTAATTAAACCACTAGAAGCCCTTCTTGTAAATCACAAAAGAATTATTGTAAAGGATAGTGCAGTATGTATTCATTACCTATGTGGGAAGATAATATTTTTATATGGATAAACGTTTTCTTCTAATATATAACTATATTAATAGGTGAATGCCATTTGTTATGGCGCTAAAATTATGTTGCCAGGTATAATAATGTATGATGATGGTATAGAATTAAATCAAGAAATTGTAATAGTTACTACTAAAGGTGAAGCTATAGCACTTGGTAAGTAATTGATTAAAGTAATGTAGAAATACCTTATATTTATTTGTAATACTGATTTAAGTGCTCATTTAAAAAATATAACAAAATTAATATACAATATTTGATTATGATTTTTACTCTTTATGATTTTTATTTATGTGAACAATATTTATTTATTTATTTTTTTTGTTGTTACAGCTATAGCATTAATGACATCTCCTACAATGACTGCTTGTGATCATGGTGTAGCTGCGAAAATTAAAAGAGTAATAATGGAAAGGGATGCATATCCAAGAAAATGGGGTTTGGGACCAAAAGCTTCCATAAAAAAACGTATGATAATTGAAGGAAAGTTAGATAAATATGGAAAACCAAATGAAAACACACCTGCTGACTGGTTGGCAAATTATACGGACTACTCTACGCCTGCAATTAAGGTAATTATTATGTTTTCTATGTATATTTCTTTATACAAATATGTTTTTATTTGTTTGCTAAATAGACTGAAGAAAATGGAGTTACTGATACTGTGGCTAAGAAACGCAAATGGGAAGAAACAGTTGCACAATCTGCAGTAGATGTTTCAATAAAAGAAGAACCAGCTGAAGATCCGGAAACAACATCACCAAAGGAAAAAAAGAAAGATAAAAAGGAAAAGAAAAAGAAAAAGAAGAAGAAGAAGGAGAAGACAGAATCTGAAGCTGATGAATCGATGTTAATAGAAAGTGCAACAGAGGT